TTTTAAAATGAATCTCTCTTGTCATTGTTGATTTCCTGTTTTCACAATACTTGTCTGTCGCATTCCAAAACAAATGCGCAGTTATCACCTCCATACAAAATCAAAGAAAAACTGTCAAGTGAAATTAGGAAGCGCTCCAGATTTTTATGTTTCGGATTACTGTATACAAATGTTGGCCATTTTGAATTTATAATAAAGTCATTAGCGACATCTTGAATTAGTGAATCAGTGCTCCCGCTAAATTTGCCAAAAAGACCTGCTCACAAAAAAGACATGTTTTACAGCATTTTACAGTATATAGACTCTAGAAATAAAAACTGGATCTTGGTTACATGGGGTTATCCGTACTCACTCTTGTAGGGCACTGTGCGCCTTGATGAATATATGCTGGGCTTGCTTGGCAAAATCTTTTGTGTTAAACTCTGGATCAAATTTTCGGATTTTTCTGAGGTCTACTGTAGAAAAACCTACATGTTTCAATCTTTCTAATCGTTGCTTTGCGCCCTGTAAAAAAAAATATACATAATCTTCAGTGACTGCGTTAAAGGCATAACAATAGTGAAAAGAGACAAATAAAGTATTTGGGTGATACTAGACACAGCCTAATTTGAACACTTCTAGTGTGTCCCATGGCCAAACATCATTTTCACAAAATCTCAAAAATAAGTGGGTAATAAATCTGAAAATAAAATAGCCAAATAAAACCACAATATTGTGATTTCTCAGAGAAAATGATTTCGTGAAATCCACATTAGATTTAACAGTTATGTGTTGATTTTTGAAAAAATTATTCACATTTTGTTTGGAAATAAGCACAGATTTAGATTTCAATTTTGATGTGAAGATGGAAGATTACATTGTGTATTGGCATATTGTTTACCTCAGTACTGAGCGGAGTCGACTTGCCATCCCCTTCTGGTGGTACATAGGGTTGAAAGATATCACCTGGAATGTGCAATGTACAAAGATAGCTCAACTTAATATTAAAATTATACTGTTAAAATCCTATACATGGTTTGTGTTGCAATATTGCAAATTCAAAAATTAATTCTAAAACACAAAGACCTGGGGCGCTTTGTCATGACTATATATGGGACTTTATGAGAATTTTACCTATTGACTCCCTAGGTCAGTCTTTTCAAACCCAACATGGCTGACACTAATGTGCCCTTTTGGCATTTTATTTTGACAAGTTAAAGCGGGAGGGTTGTCACCTGCGCACGAGGGGGAATTGAGTCCCAAGCGATGATAACAATACATGCTACGCAAAGACATATTAGTAAACGCTTGTTTGTGAACAATTACATGCTATGACCACCTGACGTATGTGTAGGTGACGACTCCCTCGCTTTAAAAAAATGCTTTTCAACAGCTTAACAATACAATAAAAATGTCAACTGCTGAATTCAGTGGATGAATGGAGGATTTAAGCATTTTGACTCACAATGAAGCTAATTCACAGGTTTGTAATTGAGACATTTGTGATTTTTGAATCCCTGTCATGAACACTAATAATAACAACTTTCAACTAGGGGGTTGATTTGTAATAAGGATGCCGTTCTTTAAAATTATTCGAGAAGCTGTACTGGGATCTTGGGACTAACGTATTTGATGATATGAACTATGACCCAATTGTTGGAACTATCAAGGATTTACACACACTTCTTATGAAACATACGTTTCATTCTCACCATCGGCCACAGTTGCACTTTCAAAACTGATTGTAATCGGCCAACTACAGTTGGTTATGAAGTTTCAGCTTTATAAGAGAAAATAATTTTTCACCTGTACAACTAATGATGATCTGTCTGTCAGTGTACGATGACTTTGTAGGTTGTTTCATTAACTCGTCAATTCTCTCCAATGTTATATTCCAAGACTCTTTGCGCTTATCTTCATCACTCATCATATGCCAGGGTGTTCGTTTACTGTTTTTGGGTATGGCCCTGACCCATGTTTTTCTAGTTCTTACTGGTATACAGACAGCAGGCAGTGTTTTATGATGAATTTGGATCAAAGCCGTCTGCAGGGTAGGCTGCAAAGATTACATGTGTACATGTAATTACAAGTGTGTGTTGAGTATAATATTAAAAAAACATAAAAATAAATTCTTGAGGATAAATATTCACTGGGTTTATTAATTTTAGAAATCAGATTGCTCTATTAGTAACGTATGCATTTATGTAAATGAAATAGGTGTTTCTATGGTCATTTTCAATGACGTAGTCCCTGTTCAGTTTTTAGTGACTGGCTCAATTACTGAAAATGAAAGATGTAGATAGATTATAATTAAATGAGTGGTGAGTACTTGGCAAGATAAAAATAGCAATAAGATGATTAGATCTCGTATCATATTGCCCAAACACATAAACAACTTGGATATTTTGAATCAAATAACAATTTGAAAATAAAGTGAGTGATGTTCATACAATGTACCAAGTTTGAATGGAATCAGCACCGTGAGGGATGGCTGAGAAACAGTTGATGACATAACAAAAATTCCACCAGTTCACTAACTTTTATTGTAATCAAAAATGAACCCAAGACAACATTCATTATGTCTTGTTTTTGTACCAAATTAAAGCCAATTCTTTAAATAAAATCTTTGAGAAATTTGCAAAAAACTTGTATAACAATATTGGCAGCCAGTCAGGTACTTTGAATTAAGCAATGAAACAAAATGAAGTGCATCCGTAACCCACCAAGAGTGATGTCACTAGCAAGTTTGAATGAAATCATTCAAGAATTGCCTAAGAACAGTTGACATGTTCAAAAGTTGATTTCAAAGCTCAACGTACAGACAAAATAAGTCCAGGCATGTCAGACACAATGATGGATATATTTGCATCATTGCATATTCTCTAAGACAGACCGGAAACGGAAACGAGACAAAAACAAAAGATTTTTCAAGTTATCGTGGGGGAAATAACGTTGCTAAGTATTATCGTCAGGGAAAGCTATTGTTTAAGCTAGTCAGTGATTGGTTGCTGGTAATGTTTGGGTGATTTTGACGTTGCGATTTTGATTTGTGACGTTGGCTTGACTTAGAGAATACTCCTCGTCAGGACATGTATAGTTATATAGGGGGGGTTACAATTACATTGGGCTGGAGTGTTAGGGTTGGGGTTAGCGGTGATGGGGTCCTAAGGAACTCGTTCCCAATTGAAATGCGAGTGCCCCAAGGAACTCTTCCCCCAATAACTTCTCCTACATTATATGTATTAATTAAATTTAACGTAGTATGCAATATCTAATCTGTGAATAGATGCAAATCTGAAAGTTTAAACAATGTTTTCAGTATTTCTTCACAGATCCACATATAGTTGACGGGATGGGGCAAGTCAAAATAAGGATTGGACGGGGCAAGTCAAAATAAGCATTGGACACTTCCAAACGTCATGAAATCATGGGCTACAGTACATCCCAATCGAGCGTCGAGACATGGCTAGTCTTTTCGTCAAATCCCCCTTCACGAAGATCAGGAGACTAATAATAAACAGTTTGTAAAAACAATCCATGTATGCGATCAATGATCCATTATGGCTGTAACTGAGATGCCAAATATTGAAATATATGTGATGTTAAGAGACATACATACCGGACATCGGCAACCCATGCGATGAAACACGGCCGCCGCCATTTTGTATTTTCTAATTTGTATGTTGACTCGGTGTTTCTCTTCTCCTGGTTCAATTTGCGGCTGTGGCAAGTCGTGTGTATAATGCCACCGAATAACATTATATTAAGTAAATGCTACGCCCTCTCTGTCATTAATAAATGGAGATTTTTATTTTTCATTTTGCTAAGGCCAGACTTTTTTTATTCTTGTTTCTCGAGTTTTTATAAGTTATTATTTTTTTTATGGAGGGTGGAAAAAAAAAAATTAATTCGTTTTTTCCGTTAGATTTGTGTGATTCTCAAAGAATTGTAAGTGAGATCATTGATCGGAGAGAGGAAATGAAATAATTGTTCATTCCATGTATAACCTGGTTGGCAATGTTGCCAATTGGGGCAAAGTTTTCAGCATTGATGAGGAATTTCTTGTTTTTTGACAGAGTTTCATGGCATGTCACCACAAACAACGCGCATAAAGTATAGATCTGCACGAGACTTCGGTACTTTGATCATGATAGTCCCATGAAAATCCAACTTGGATTTGTTAGGCGGCGGGCGGAAAAAAATGAAGATAACAATATTTTTTTAGCAATTTTTGCACTCACAAGTCGGCGGGCCCGAGACATTACCCTGAAATAAAATTTTATTTTTATTTCATTTTCGGCTCATTTCATTCGGCGGATACGAGGCGCGGAATGTAAATTTATTATTTTGTGTATACTATAATAAAATTGACTAATAATTCAAAATTACGTACGTATTGGAGACCGTGGCGTGTGTGTTTTAAAATGATGTGTGCATTTTTAAAACTGCGTGACTCTGCGTTTTAATGGTGTGTGTTTCAAAATGACTGATGTGTGTATGTATTCATTAAATGTATGTGCATTAAAAAATGATGTGTGTATTTTAAATGGCGGTTGTATTTTAAAAAAATATGTGTGTTTAAAAAATGAAGTTTTAAAAATTATGTATGTTTAAAAAAATGACGTGTGTGTATTAAAAAAGATGTGTTTATTAAAATGACGTGTGTTTAAAAACGACGTGTGTGTTTTAAAAATTATAAGTATATTAAAATGACGTGTGTGTTTTAAAATGTGTGTATTAAATGACGTGTGTTTAAAAACGACGTGCGTGTTTCAAAATGACGTGTGTGTTTTAAAAATTATGTGTATATTAAAATGACGTGTGTGTTTTAAAATTATATGTATATTAAAATGACGTGTGTATTAAAAATGTGTATATTAAATGACGTGTGTTTAAAAACGACGTGTGTGTTTTAAAATGACGTGTGTGTTTTAAAAATTATATGTATATTAAAATGACGTGTGTGTTTTATAATAACGTGTGTTTAAAAACGACGTGTGTGTTTAAAAACTACGTGTGTATTTTAAAAAAATGTTTGTTGAAAACTGACGTGTTTTTTTTTTAAATGACGTGTGTGAGGTCGAATGAAAATGTGTGTGTGTAAAAAGAAAAAAAAACACGCGTGCATTAACCTTTTTACGCCTGTAGGAGGCGTTATTTTCGAATGATTATTTTTTCGTGTGTGTGATAAAAAAACGCGTGCATTAACCTTTTTACGCCTGTGTGTTTTATTCTAGTACACAGAATAATAAATTTACATTCCGCGCCTCGTAGGCGGGTTCGCGAAACAAGGGATAATAAAATTCTGGTCTAAATATCTCAAGATGAATTAGGGAAAAGCCTGTATATGGGAGATGTTTGCTTAAATTTATTATGTTCTCAATTATCACACTCACAAAATCCAGGGAGCACTCAGAAATGTCGGCGAGATTGTTATAAATAAATAAATAGAACAAGCAACTGAAAAATACATATTTCATAAATAAAACAAACTCGCAGTTGAGCTTATCCTATACGGGATTGGCTGTGGACCATTAGAAACTCTGGGTAAAAATATTTTTCCCTGCACTAAGTTTTGTGCTAATTTGTTCTACCAATGTGTGAAATATTTTTTAGGCATGCAGTTGTAGTACTCAGGCTCTCGCAGCACATGTAGAATGTTGTGTAAACAAACACAATAGGTATAATGCACTTGTTGCTTACGTCGAATTTGGACCGTTATCAATAGCGACTGACGTGGCACCACGATCACATTCGATTTAGGGGAGACACATGGTTATTTGTGGTTGGGGAATAATTATTAGTATTAATTAGTTTATTACGTAAAACCAAGAACCCATAATACCATGATATCGCATTATTTTGTGTATAACAGTGACGTATCTTGAGAAACTTGTCCTAATATTTTTACAAAAATTGCGATTTTTAGAACAATTCCGTGGAACACAGTCTTAAATAAAGATTGAATTTTTTCGCAATTTTTAAAAGCCGGATTTTTGAAATAATGCAAGACAACAAAAAGCATCCCACCAGTCACAGTATTTAATGTAGCCTATGTCACCAGCCTTGATATAAGGCATAATACCTCTGCCATAGACACATGTGTTAAAAGCGTAAAAAACTGTAAAAATGGCCACTATCACATAGAAATACATCCACAATTGTTTCGAAAATTACCCCCTCCCACTTTCAATATGCCTATATTGCCCAGGGGTACAATTTATTGCAAAATTAATAAATTCTGGGTAGTAGCATTTATGTGTAGGCTTCTTTCTACCTTAACAAAGCACATGGCAGAATAAAACAGTTACGCATTGTACTAGCGATAATCGCTCAGACTATACGTTGTGTCATGTTTTACCCACACTCTCACCATATGGGTGATATAAGTTCTATGTGAAAATATCGGACTATTATAAATTAAATTTATGTTATTTCATCAATTAATTATAAACTGAGCTGTTTTCCTATAATTATTCCAGTAAAATTAAGAGCTAACATACATATCGCATCACTCATATGAAGCAGTCCGTAAAAAAAGACTGATACGGCTTCAAAGATCGTGACATAAAACTGATAGAAAACCCATCAAATCATATTCTTGCACTGCTGGGCGGCATGCATCATATTCTTTCACGCAAAATAATATATAACTAATAAAACTATGGTAACTATGTCTAACATTAATCTATTATCTGTTGCAAAACACAAATGCATTTGTGCATAATACGTGCCGCATACAACGGAATCGCTGGGTAATGGAACTTGAGTACAGTCGTGAGATTAACGCTCATTCTCCTTCGCAGAGTCCTTGCGGTTAACACCCCTAAAGTATTCAGACGTCGAAGTTTATCGTGTGACTTATAGTTTAATACTTGCCGTGGGATTTTACTAAGGGCACTGAGAGTGAGTCTGTTATACTGAATAATAAAACTGTTTGCTGGATGAACACTGCAGTTAAGTCGAGGCATATATACAAGGCAGAAGGGTCGGTTAGCGAATCAGGCATAATCCTGTGAGCAGCTTCGTATTGACTCAAACTGTGTGTTGTTTGCGGAAGAATACTAACAGAAGGTTTTATTATATGTTTATACTGTAGTTATCCTCATTCATTCGTTATACCATATCTCAGTAACTAAATATATATACAATGTATAATATTAATGTTGCGGATGTAAGTGCGTATTCAACCTGCGATGGCGTCATATGTGACGTGCAACCGAAATCTTCGTTTAATAAATAATTTGCGGCAGCACAAAATATGATCGCGTATACGCGGAACTTTCACACCACTGTCGGCCATCCGGGGATTAGGTATTACGCGGAAACTGTACTTTCCGCGGGATATAGCAAAAGATGGTGTAATTTTTCTACAAGTCTTACGCTAATGACACGTACATACGCCTGTTGGGGGAGATTCGAGTAACACGTCGTGTTTATAAAATATAATAAGAAGTCAGTCCTTGCAATACTGTGTGAAAATGAACTTTATTGGAACCAATTAAATGAATTCACAGGTAATCCAATTTCGAATGTACACTTTTTTTAAATGTGGTGTGTCAGAAAGTCATTGAACCGGCGGTACATTAGAATCGAAGCAAATGTCAATGTATATTGGATATTACGTGTCGTGTTTACATGTATTTAGTAAACGCAATATTGCAATATGGCCGCTGCGAGGTAAACGTACTTCTACCCAATTTTATTAGTTTTCTGTTGTCACAAAGATACGACGACTGACACCCCCAGAGAAAAATAAAGTAGAATCTGGGATACACGTGTCATGGTTGCACTCTTATCTTTACTGTGTGTGAGTGCAGCGTTTGCTAACATGGTTACCTAGCAACAATCAAGAATTCTACAGATTTGTTTTAATGGCAACTAAATTGCGTTTTAGGCATTGCTTTGCATTCCTAAACCGCTGTGATGCCCCTCCCCCAAGCACTCAATGACAGAAAGCCTGGCATGGTATTGCTAATCACCTGGCTGGGAGCGCTGGTTAGGGTGAGGGGAGAGCTAGGGGCGCTTCTCCACTTATTCTAACCTTTTTTTCTACCGACGACGTCACTGAGATTAGCATTAACCATCCTCAACTGAAAGTAGGCATGGATACATATAACATGGTCAGGGTCTAAAACGGACGCCCAAGGCAGTGTCATCCTCATCGGGGCGATTGATTCCCCCGCTCAGTCTATGGTCATAGTATTTGGGGATTATTGGGAAGAACTACTTAGCTTGGCAATTCGGTGTAAATTATGGGATTTATCAATCACAACGACAATTACCAGAAAAAGTAAAAAAAAAAAAACATCACTTATGGGAACAAAAAAAATAAATTTAAATAACACCAAAAATAACAAACCAGGGAAAAAAACTGACGACATACAGAGAATTCAAGAAAATGTTTGAAATGGAATGCTATTTTATAACAACTTGCCTTTTTTTTACGAAAATCAAAGAAAAAAATTATATGAAGAAGCCGAAAGAGAATAAATGATTCCACAAATTTGACAGAAGAGAACAAATTTATATAATGATACTGGGAAATAAAAACATTGCAATGAATATAGCATTGGGCAAATTTATAAAAAAAAAAGATCATGAGAAACCGACACTTGTCGACTTAGCATAACCACAATATTTTTAAACATCGCATTAAAATAAGACCGCAGCACCCCATAGCATAAGCATAGATT